CTATCAAAAATCATCGTTAGCGTTTCTTGCACAACAATTTTTATGATTTTACCCTTATTAATGTTAAATCATTGTCTGATGAGTTTTTTGTTCGATTTCTCCTCATTCAAAGGCAAACACACGAATATTGTGAGGGCCTGAATTTTGATGAAATATGCAAAAGTCGTTCAGTCACATGAACAGTTTATGTCAACACATGGAAGAAAGTGAATTGCCCAAACTTTTTATGATCTTTTTTTTCAACTTAAGTGATGGCTTTAACTACTCATGCAAAAGTTATAAAGATAAGCGGTTGCTCATCAGAGATATTTGGGAATAAAATACCCTAATTTTACGTCTTCTTCAAAACTTGGAAATGATGACCCAAATTAAGGGGGCTAAGAGGGGGGAAATCGAATCGGCGACTTTAAACAGTTTATTGTGCTTAAAGTCTTATGATATCAGATTATCTCTCAGTGCATTTAAGTTCCAGGTGGCTTTTCTGTTTGTTGCACTGGCATCGTAAAGTGAGCTAATTAATTATGCATAAACGGGCAAAATGGCGAATTTTTACAGGGGGAGCCCGGATCTCCCAGGGAATATAATATTTTGACCTGACATTCTGTCACATAAGCTAACTCCTGATAACTAACATTTGTGCCAAGTTTGAGCGAAATCGGTGATTTGAGCATTATCACCCCCTGCCTGGTTTTCTCATGGACACACTCTTAATATAATTTAGTTTTTTTGTTTTGTTTTTGTTTTTTGTTTGTTTATTTTTTTCCAATTTTTCCTCCAAACTATTAATTGTTAAAACTTCTATACCAGTTCTTTTCATTTGTGTTTTGGAAGTTCTTAATTCAACTGGTTCTTTTCTTTTCTCTGCTTCTCTTACTTCTTTGCTGTGAGATTCTGTAAGCAAAAGAATAAAAACTTCATGTTCATATGGAGGTTTAAAGTCTAAAACCAATACAATTTCTTTTTTTCAACGTTCACTTACCATAAAATCTTTTATTTGTTTTTTTGGTTAGAAAAGCTACAACTTCAGAATATTTAGTCATTTTTTTAAATTTAATAGCTATATAAAATCCCGCTCGTAGCAAAAGTTTTCCACCTTTTTTGTTCTAATTCTGCTTCTCTTTCGTGAAGAACCAATGAGTAAACATTGCAAACCGTAGCTGTATTCCCTGATAGTTCGTAATGAAAAGCTAGTTTTGTAACTCCGTCTTTAATGTCCATTTTTTGCTTTGTTAAGTCAAAATAAACAAATAAGAACAAATTTTCAAAATATGCTCTGTTTAGAAGTGTTCCACCTTGGAAATCGTTGTTTGCGTAAACGTATGACATTACATCTCTGTAAACTCTTGAGAAATCTAAGGATGCTTTGTGGTGAATATTGGGATATTCATTTCCATTTCCAACTTCCAGATAGTATCTATCCAATGTTCTTGGGTAGGTTGATACTCTGAAAGTGTTATAAAGAAATGGATTTGCTGTTTGTGACTCAATACTTGCTGTGTTAATTATAAAGACAAAAAACATGACGCGGTTTTGAAATAGCATTTGTAATTCGGAAATGACCAGTTCTTTGTCTTGATTTATTGCCTCTTTCAACTACTTCATTTAAGTAAGTCCATTTATAAGGTTTAAGATAATTTTCCATGTACAACTTTTGTCCTTCTGAGCTGAAGGATAACCTTGAGACAAAAAGTTGAAGTCTTGTTATAATAACTCTGCAATCTGCTCCTGCTTGCCAAATAAGGTTGGTATCTTTTTAAAATTCAAGATTTAACTCAATTTTTGTGTTTGGAAGTAACTTATCCTCTAATGCTTCAAAAAATGATTTTCTGTTAAGAGTAATTTCACAATTTACAGTGGCTGATGCTCCCAATAGTGCTTTTCGTGCGGTAAAACCTTTATTGTAATTAGCCACAACGGTGAGAAGTATAACTGTTTGTCCAACACCTGCAGCATTTCTTACATTTCCAGAGGTAAACTTTCTTTCTTCAGCATTTCTTGATGTATCAAGAAAGTAAAATTCATTTGTAGCAACACTCTCAGCATTGGAGGGATTATTATATGGCTGAGCCTGTTTTCGCCATGCGATTGGTCAATTTGCGGTCCGTAACTTGCCATACGGACCAAAATTTTTAAAGAAAATGCTCATTTCGGAGCTCTAAATCTCTTTTCCTCGGAAAAAAAGGTTTAAATAAAGTTATAAGACGCCTGTCAACCTCAAGGACTTGGATGTTGACTTTGGCCTTCAACATTTTAAACTGTGTTTATTTGTGGACGAAACTAACTCCTAATCTTATCGTAGGGGATTCTAGTCAGTGTTTGAAAGTTTTATCGTAGTTCACAGTTAAGAAGAGGAAAATCGACTGGCAGAGATTCGAGATGTTTTGTCTAAGAGAAAATGAGTAATTTCTTCGACAAATATGATAACAAACATACCTGCACCCGATCATCTTGACAAGCTTCTTTGCCATTTGCAGTGTTTTTTCAAAGACCAACGAAAGAAAGACAGAAGGGAGTTCGAGCCAGACACAATGTCCAGTTTTCAAAAGACTCCAGCGTCACATTATCGAGTGAATACTTACAGTGCTCTTAGTTTTGGCCGAATAAACTTTAAAATATGTCTGTAAACCCTAAGGACTGGGATGTTGACTTTGCCTTTGCAAATTTTAATAAGAACGAAGCTGATGTAGAAACTGAATCGTAACCTTACCGAGGAAGAGAATTCCTGTCAGTGTTTGAAAATTTTAACGCAGATCACAGTTGAAGACGAGAATGAACTGGCAGAAAGAGAGGTTTTCCCAAAAACAATCAACGAGCGAGTCCTTCGACAATGACAACAAACTTACCTTTGCCTTTTGCAGTATTTTTTTTTTTTTACAAGGACAACGGAGGAAAGATGGAAACGACTTCTAGACAGACACAGTGTCCGGTTTAAAAATACTCCAGCCTTACATTAAAGAGCTAAAACTTACAGTGCCATGTTATACGATGAAACAGGGTCTTTTTGGTTCATAAGTAAATGGGCGAGATCTAGTGAGATTATCTGTTGGTATCCTATCAATGGTCTGTGTTTTAACTCCGCTTATAATACTATCTTTTATAGTGCTTGTGTTGATATTCAGCACATCAATTGAATTTGTGATATTGGGTAATTTTGTTCCATACTCTGTCGTTGAGACTATTTTCTTTTCAAATCCAATAAGGTCTCCAAAATTTGTTCCTCTCAAATCAAGCCAGTTTGATTGTATTGTTTTTATAATCACTGCTGATGTTGTACCAGGAATAAGTCATTGATAACGTATCAATAGCAAATTCGTGTTCCATTTCAGGGTCAAGTTTCAAAGGTGGGTTAAACCTTATTGTAAAATCATCAGGTCTGCATACTCCTATTTTTCCTCTTTCTATTGATAAAATACGAATAGGACGTTCTTTCAGTTTATTTTATCTTTACATAATTTTTTAATGATTAATTAAGCTGTTTTTTTTTAAAGAACGTTCATCTTATTAAGCAGATGCGCAATTTGAGAAAATTCGGGTATCACACCATTATTTCCAGCGAGAATGAGACCGCCAAGTAATTCAAGTCTGTTAAGAAGTTGAGTGGGATTATTAAAGTAAAAAATTCCAGAGCCAGATTTTTGTTTGTATTCTTTAAGAAGACTAAGATTATAGATGTAGTAGGCTAAAGTGTTGTGGTATTTTATTACTTTTATTGTATCAGAACGAGGGTTTTTACTTTTTGATGAAGCAATTGGTATTCCACCTATTGTTTTAAAATTTGCATTATTTTGTGTTTTTTTTTTTTTTGCTTGCTCTGTTATTTCTTTACTAGCTTTATTCATTTTATCTTGAATTTCACTCAGACTTGCATCTTTTAGTTCACTTGGTGAAGTAAGATCAAAATCTCTTAATATATCTAAAAATTCTTTGTTATTTAAATACCTATTCAAATCTTCATCAGTTAACGTCATTATCTTTGGTTTTGGTGGTATTGGTGGTTTTGGTCTTACAACAGCCATTTCCTCCTTTGCTGGTGGTAGTGGAGGGGAAAGAACTCCATCATAGTCTTAGGGCTCTTTAATTACTTCAAAACCAGATAATTGTTGCATATCCCATCTTTTCACCTAATCCATTTTATTAAATCCTTCTTCAATTGCAAGTCCATTTCGATTTAGATTATTTGTAATTGCAAGTTGTTCTTCTTGAAGTTGTTTAATCATTGTATCCTGCTGTTTATCAATACTTTTTTTAACGTTATCTTGAGACTCAATAAGTCGTTTAAAAGTTTCTTCAAAACCGTCTCTGATATCCGGTGTTTAGTCAAAGCTTCAGCTTCAATTTTACTTCTTGCATTTTTTATTTTTTCGATATCCATTTTTACCTAATAATTATAATAAAATGGAAATACCAAACTATGACAGTGATTGCGATAATGATAAAAAATTTAAACAACTTTACCCATACATGCCAAAGGATACCTTTCGAATGTTGATTTGTGGAAACAGTGGAAGCGGAAAAACTAACCTGCTTTATCACATGTTGATAAAACCGCTGATACATTACGATGAAATATATCTTTACGCAAAAAATCTTGAACGGGAGAAAAATCAAAAATTAATAAGTAAAATGAAAGAAATAAGTCAAAAAATTGGATATGACATTCTTAACGTGAGTAATGACAAGATAACTCCAGTTGATGATATGGATTATGAGGATAATCAAAAACTCGTTATATTTGACGACTGTGTTTGTGAAAAAAATCAGAGACAGCTCATTGATTATTTCATTCAAGGGCGACATAAAAATTGTTCGGTAATTTATCTCAGTCAAAGCTTTCACAAGACACCAAAAGACATCAGATTAAACTGCTCTCATTACTGTACTTATGAATTTCCATCCTCGAGAGAAAGAAATATGATTTCAGCGGAGCTTGGTGTAAGCAAGGAAAAATTCAAAACAGCACCAAAAAGCATTGTGATTTTTGTATGTTGATAAACCAATGAAAAAATTCAAAAAGAATTTCTTTGGTAATATATAACTAATAGATAAATGGAAATATTCAATGAACAATCTGATAATCAATATCCGTTTGGAAAAGGAATTCAAGGAGCACCGGGTGTTGGTTTTCTTCTCACTTCAGATGGAAATTACGATATGACAAAGAAAAAACTGACAAATGTTGCCGATGGGACTAATCCATCCGACGCTGTTACAAAGAAACAATCAGATAGTGCCAGTGGAGGAAGTGGCAGTGTCACCAAAAACATCGATTTAAAAAATCAGTTTAACATTCTGAACAACAAAACTAGAACTTTTGATGAATTGAAAAGAGATGATGAGTCACTTGTAAGTTTTGAAGAAGTAAAAGAAAACTTTGTTGGAATTTGTGACGCTAAAGCAATAAAAACATATTTGGATATGGGAAATAATTTCGTTTATAATGTTAAAACTCCGACTACCAATGACCAAGCTGCAAATAAATCCTATGACGATAAAGAATTGAGTGACTCAGAAACTGCTGCTAGTATGGTTTATGCGACAAAATTAAAATTAGATGATTATTTGAAAAAGGACGGCAGCGTTTCAATAACTGGAGATCTTACTATAAGTGGAAATAAGATATTCAATCTTCGCACACCTAGTTCAAACAGTAGACCAGCAACAAAATTCTACACTGATGTACATTTTCTTAAACTTAACGGGCCATCACAAATGAATGGAAATCTTAGAATGTGATTTAATAACATAGCCGGTTTAGCAGCGCCAACAGCTACTAATCATGCCGGAACTGAAAAATATGTTGATGATAATAAAGCAGACTTAAGTAATTATTTATAGTTAGACGGTACAAAAGAAATGAAAAGAATTTTTAACAGATGCAGCCAACAAAGATTATGTCGATAATTTAATGCATCACGCTCAAGTTCAACCGAGCCACCAAAAGGATGAATTTACTTACGTTATGGCAAATATATTGGAGTGGAGTGATTTGATTTCAAGTGGAAATAGCTTTAATATGACAAAGATTGCTGATTTGTCAAAATCTAAAGGTAATTTTCACTCGTATAATAAAAGCGTAATTTATACAACAATTATAAAAAATTCTCAAGGCGGATACAGGTACAAAATGGGAATTCAATGTTACAGACTAAAATTAAATGTTGATTACACCCTTTGTATTGAGGTACTTAACACCAAGTATGCGCTTTGTCATAAAGCAAACGTTTTAATTGATAAATCAACATCGCAAGGATTGACGATTGGAAATGTTTCAGTGAGAAAATCTAGTCACAGATATGTCGACTCGAAAAAAAGTTCGCAGTTTATGTATATACTATCACAGGGTAATAGTTAAGTTCAAAAAAACGGCGGCATCTGCACCGTATTTTCTTCACCTTCTTGTCGATATTGAACAAGATGGAACTGATTTGGCAATTTATCCAAAAAACTGGACGGAAAATTACATAATTGGGTATGGCATTTTGGGAAGTGTGAGTAATATTGACCCCAATAAGGTTTACGACTATCACACAGCCTTTGAAATTAAACAAACAAAGATGAAAATGAATGTTGACTTGAACATGGGCGGCAAAATTATAAGTAACACGGCATCCTTAAAACCGTTTATCTTTGCTCTTCCTGGCAAATTTAACAAGAGTACTGATGGTAAATATGTTTACTTTGGCGGTGCAAAAGTTATAATAGCGCCTGTTATCTGTAAAATAACAAAATGTTTTGTTTACAGTGAGCCTAGTTTAGGTCATAAATTAATGCTAAACATAGAAAGCGCAAATTCACAAAATCAACGCACACATTCTTACTCTTACCTAGGAACCCAAAATAAATACCAAGTTTTTAACACATCACACATCTTTAACGTTGGAAATTTAATAAATATATGGCAAGAAATGAAGACATAAAACTCACTGTCCCAACAAAAAGTGCCGACTGGATGGTTTTGTTTGAAGTTACATAGATTTATGAATAAATAAGAGACATATTCGAATTCAATCACATTGATGAAAAGCTGTCAGAATCTGACAGTGAAACTCTCAAAGACTTTTACAAACACTATCACAAAAAGTTTTGGTGTTTCAAGAAATCATACCAAAGATTCAAACTTCTTGATTATTGGAACAACCACGGGTGGAGTAACTTTGAATTCAATCATTGTCGGTGTTTTGAATAGAGCCGGCGTTCTTGTAGCAAATATTGGAAAAATGAAAAATTACAATAAAAAGGTTGAAATGTCAAGAATCGCTTTTACAACCTATGAAAAAGTTTTGGTTGAATTGAGGTCAGCTCTAAGGGGAGATTCATTTGATAAAAATGAGTTTATTGACAAAATGAAAATAATGAATGAAATAAAAATTTACGAGACTCCATTGGCCGATCGATTTGTTAAAAAATACAACCGTAAATTTGAAAAAAATAAAAACAATATAACTAAAACTATAAGATGAGAAAGTACTTTCACCCCGATCATAAAAACTATTACGCGACAAAAGACGGCCAAATATACAACAGAAAAAGAAATAAGCCAATAAAAGAAACAATGGTTAATGGCTGTAGTAAATTCTCTATTTATCAAAAACGTTTTAAACCAATTAGTTACCCCTTTCATAAATTTATTTGGGAGGCCATTATTGGTGAAGAGGTTGGTGTTTTTTACAAAGTAATCCACATTGATGGAAATAAGCTAAATAATGAGAGATCCAACCTTATACACGTTTTTAAAGATACAAAAAATCCAATGAGAATAAAAAGAAAAATAATTGCAACAAATCTTGTAACAGGTCATGTAACTAAATATGACTCCATCTACCAGGCAAGTAAAAGTTTAAATATTAATCCTGGTTCTATTAGATTAATTGCCGAAGGAAAAAGAAAAACAGCAAAACCAAACAATGAAAATCCAAGTTATACTTTTGAGTTTGTTAAGAAAATTTTTTGAGAAACAAAATTTAAAAAAAAATTGGAAAAAAAATGGTTTAATTTATCATCTTTTATCTATCCATAGAATAAAATGATAGAGACTATTGTTGCTTTTGTAAATGAAAATTATCCCCGTTATAAAAACTTATCAAAAAATGAATATCTCACCAAAGCTTGCCTTGTTTACAAGTTTTTGTTTTATGAAACATACTTTAAAAAAACTGCTGATACCAACACCATTGCTTTTATTTTATACAAAGGTTTGGTTGATTTGGACCTTAAAACAAACTCAAACATTCTTAAAAATTTCTTTTGCTTTTACTGAGTTTTATAAAAGATATCAAAAGGGAATAGGAGAGATTTACATCATCAACACTGACATGCAAAATTCTTCAACAATGGGATTTTTAACAGGAATTGTTTACTGGTGCTTTCACAAAGGAGTTTGTTAATTCAATACAATTTTTTTTGTATTAAAACATCGATTTATATCTATTCCACCAGTCCTCGTAATTTTTTAAAGTTTGAAGTGATATCTTAAAATCTATTTTTTTGTAATTTTTATTTCCCAGTTCTCGTAAAATTGTTCGGATTAAGTAATTGGTGTTAATCATTCTCTTTCTCTTAAGTTTTTTGTTTAATTTTTTTAGTTTATCACCATTTATCCCCATTATTTGTTTTTAGAGTTTATACTTTTCATCCTTTGTTAAAAATATTTTAAACCTTTCAAATATTATCTAATCTTTTTTCTCATAATGGCATTTTCTCTGATAAATAGATTTTTGTCGAAAATGAACTCTGTCATACTCTGATTTGTCATAAACACCCAGAGCATGACCTTGAATCGCCCCACATCCTTCACAGATATTTTGACCCGATTCAACAAAAAAGGTTTCATTTCCAAAAATTCTGCATCTAACTTTTTCCGATTCTTTTTAGTTTAACCGGTTCAAATGGTTTAAGATAGCTTATATATTTATTAATGTCTTCTTCGGTGCAACTCATTCTACTTTATAGTTTTTCTTTTTTTATCTAAAAGCCTTTGTATTAATTTTATTTTTCATCACAATTCGTTTATCATCTACTGCAGATAATGCTATTTTATTTATCCTCATAGAGTAAATATCGTGATTATCACTTCTGATAATATTCATCGTTCTTATTTGCTCTTCACCTGAAAACAAACACTATTTGTAATCTTGAAATTTTAATTCGTTTTTAATAACATTTTTTTTAATACCCTTACATTTCAGTTCTTCTTTGTCCTTAAGTTTGTAGCTGTAGAGCTTTGGGCGAAGACCAACAAAGTGAGTAATCTGTTTTCCAGCTACCTCATCCTTGAATTTTCCAATTACTTTTTTGTTAACCCCTGTTTTTATTTCCGACGGATGTATTTCAGGATAATCACCTGTATCAAATCTTTTTCTTACATCTCCAGATACATCCCTATATTAATCTTCCGTCTGAACTCTATACATTAAGCTACCCGTATCTGTAAAAAGTAATTCACCTTTATCACCATATTTTGGCTTTATATAATTGTAATGAAAATCAAACATTAACGTTTTTGGTAAGTCAAGAATTGCTTGGCCGATATAGATTGGTTTATTAAAATAAACCTCAGTTTTTTTTCATATGAACAGCAATAAGATTTTCATCAAATATTGTCGCGCTGTCAAAATTTGGTTTTGATGACAATTTCAAAGCTTTTCCTCGGTTATCAATCAATGTCACATTTTGTCTTTTTCTGATGTTTTCAATTGTTTTTCCAAATACAGAATTATTCATTAGTTTAGAGAAGCTTTTCTCAAATTGGTTTTTTGACTTCTTTCGAAACTCTGTATTTTTTGAGATGTATGGCCTCATCCAATAACTTTGTCGAAACGCTATTCCTCTATGAACGGCGGTTAATTTCATCCCAAGATTAAGGTATTGCTTTAGATTTTTGTAGTGTGTTAGGGCCAAGTCGCACTAGAGGACAAAACTGTTTGTTTATGTCAAAAATCTGTCATCACAATGAAAAACCAAGTGCGACCGGTTCGTTCACCAAAGGACAAAATTTGGTCGCGGACGGACAAACTTCAAAGATGCCGTCGACTGCCTCTGGAGCAGGCCAAATTGAGACAAATTTTGGAAAACAATAGCGAGGGTGTTTTAATTCGGAAATGATTTGACAGCTGATGTGTAGCAGAGTCTCTATGCTATAGCCTTCGTTGTAAAATTAATCACGTTCTGATTTCGCAACAACATGAATCCCGGCGCGGGCGACCAATTTTTTCCGTACGAACATCCACAATATCCACCAGGATGGATCTATCCTTTGCCAGGCCTTTACATGTTTAATGATCGAGGAAATCCCAGCCCATCTCCTTCAACCACGAGTACTGAATCGTTGCCAGAATCCCTCCAGTTCAGCGAAGATAGCTCAACGCCGGCATCAACCCCATCTTCTTCGCGCCATGCATCTTCGTCAGCCGAGAACAAGAAGGCTCAGGACAGATGGAGTAAAGAAGAGGAAAAGCTTTTAGTTCAACTGTGGGCTGAAAAGCATGATCAGTTAGAAAGCCGAGAATCACAAGGCGCTCACACCATGGTGTTGTGTTTTGTTCACAGATTTTGTTCTTTAGTGCGACTGTAGCTTTCCGGACAAATTTTTTGTGACTGGCCGATTTCAAGTCGGATTTGTCCAGAACAAATCTGAAATTGCCCTCTAGTGTGACTTGGCCCTTACATAGTTCTTCTTTGGATAAAAACTTCCAATAAGTTTTTCTGTATTTCCTATTTTTATTTTCTCTGGAGCAAGTGGGTAATCATTATGAAGTCCCCACAACTCTTCAGGATATTCAAGATCAACTTCAAATATGAAACCGCGAGTTTTTCGTTTTTTACTCATTAAGAGGCGGTCTCCCTAAAAGCGTTCCACTCGATTTCGGACTCGAAAAAACTTTTGCCTTATGTTTTTATCATCAACACTACTATCCATCCTAATAACGAAATTGCAATTAGAATGAGGAAATTGTTTATTTCACTGCCATTCCCAGCCTTTCATTGCTGGACGACCGTTAGCGGCTAAAATGTGCAAATTTTAGATGCGGTTTTTCAGGTTTTTAACGATCGTTTAAAAGTACTTTGGGCCATCAAATCCTAGACTGTTCGCACTCATTTGGAAGCATATAGATTCTTCTTACTGTTCCAATACCATTTAGGCATTATCTTTCTCTAATCAGCAAAAACTGGTCGTCTTTATTTCACTAACCCAACTAAGAAAGTAAAATGCAAGAATAAATGCCTCAAAAACATCACAAAATTCTCAAAAGTGGCACCTAAACTAGACCTAAAAACATGTTTTAGTTA